ATGTTGATATCATGATGTTATAATCTATATTTCCATTTGGGAAATGTTGTAATGTCAATGTTTAATTGAAATATTGCCATCATACCAATAATTGATTTTATACTATAAAAATGATATTATACACTATAATTGATATATATATGAATATATGATTGTAATATTTCAATTTTAACATTTATTAATGACGTGGGTTGTTCACTAAGGTAGTAACTTTGTCATATGATAACTATCTAAGATGATATTAAAATCATTCCAAAATTGATTCGATGAGAGTATTTGATGATTATAACATGGTAATATTGAATTGGTGTTGATTAGTACCATTCATGACATGTAAGAATGTTACCTTTTTGTCAATGGGGTTTGGTTAGGATTCAGAGTTGATTTATTTGGGTTATTTAAGAGATTACTTAGTGAAGATTCATATCATTGATTATATTTCTTATCATCTATTAATGATGTTAATTTGATGGTTTCATTTCTTATATTGATAGATATTTAAAGGTCAGGTCAGTACTAACTTTTGAATTATGGACTTTGAGAATTCAAATGTTTGGGACGTGAATCTACTCATTAGATTGAATAGGTATTGCTAATAAAGGAACATTTCATTGATTTATTGATTATAACGGTCAAATTGAGTTGAATGGAAGTGAATCACATGTTGATTCATAGTGGTTGGGTAGTTTCGCCACGAAGTGGTGCAACTACCAACCTTTGTAGATTGAATCAGGTTGATTTGCATGCAATCTGAAATATGTAGCATGATTCAAGTGATTATTCACCAATTCAATGATCAATATTCAATAATCGGTTTGATTTCAATCAATAGCTTGATCATCAAGCTTTGAATTAATATTCCAGTAATTAACGGCAGTCTATTTTTAAATTTAATCAAAGACCATATATAGTATCTTGACTTTTATGATCTGGAAACTATCTAGATGTGTTCTATATTGAATAATCTATTTGAAAATGAGATGAATTAACTCTTCTATTGAGTTTTATTGGTATTGTATGCTATTACGATT